TTTAGTTAGTGAAACGCCTTTCATAATTTCTGTTTTGTTATTCTTTTTAATAATTGTTATAGCTACTTTTATGATTAACTCAAAAACCTTCTTCGGTATGTAGATGGAGTGAAAGCAAATTGATATTCATTAGTTCGTGGGGAATTTTCATTAGAAGGCAACTCTTCGCGTCTACCTGTATACATTCCCTGTACATTGTTTGAAGAACGGTCCTGCAACAATTCCATTATTATTTTTCTCACCAAATAGACAAGGCAAGCCTATGTTTGACATGTTCAAACAGCTGAACTTAAAACTTAGCTTAAAGTTGCCGACACGAATCAATTGATGTGTATATATGTGTTGTGTATGTATGTATAGCTGGTGAGCACTAGAAGGATACACATGATGACACTAATTACGCTCGAGTGTCAGCACAACATTTCAAGCGTTTTCCTGGAAAATGCATAATACGAGTTTTCCTCGTTATACAACTTATAATTAGGTCCGATCGAGATGTAAGTGGGAGAGTTATAATTAATAATAATGGAGATATGTCGACGAGGAGTTTCACGGGTTTTGATCTACATGGTGAATCAGTATAGAACCAGAAATATTTAAAATTTTATTTTATTTACAATCCCGATTTGTTTTAATTGTTGCTTGATTTTTTAGGAATATTGTTGATTTATTATCGTTTTTGAAAAGGAGCGTCCATAAATTATTGATTTTTTAATGCTATAGTAGGAATCAAATAATTCATTATTATTTTGTTTTTACAATCGTTGGCTATTGCTTGATTTTAATAATAAACATCAATAACAATCATAGGCAGATTTTTGTCTAAAAGTCAATAATCGACTCCCTTTGGGATAACTAATCAGTGGCGTAGGACAGTGGCTAACAACTATCAGATTCATATAAAAAGTGAAAGGTTTTCTTGACACTCTATACAGCATAATGAAAAAGATTAAAATGTTAATACGGATACATTGAAAAATTTTACTGCCCATATTATAAAAACGACTGATTATGGCATCATTATTTAAAGCGTACCACTCCTTAAAAAGAATGTCTTTTTTTAATATCCGATTTACAAGAATAACGATAAACCATTATACTTGAAAACTTTCTCAATGTCATTGTTTAAACCCTAATTAACATTTCGAAGAAATATATGTATGCAAATAATAAATTATTTACTTATTTTCGATTTTTTCGGGATTTAACTCTTTAAATTAGCATCTTAATTGATTATTACTTATCTAAATATTGATATTTTGAAAATTTTCACATTTTAAGACTAAATTTTTCCTAAAGTCTGTTCGCTATACTTACGCGGGTTTCGGATTAAAAATGTTATGAGTATTTCCAGGTAAGTACCCGAAAGTTTGACCTGTTCTTTGGGGAAATATCAACGTTAAATGAAATGAAAAATAATGTACAACTTTTTAATTAAATAACAATCTAGTCTAATGTGGCTATTATAAACCTAATAATAATTTTATATTACACTTCACACAGAAAATATGGTCTATGTATAATAAGAGAGTTATTTAGCTCAAATAAAATATTTTCTAACAAAAATTTGTTCCATGTAGAGAATTTCAAATGAAAAATAACTTGTTCGAAAATTGTTGCCAGCGAAATTTTCAGTGTACTGAATACACAAACTAAAAATCAGTGTAGCCAACACATAATTCAGTTATTATGACTGTCATTTTATTGTATTAATATTGTATTAATAGCGATTTAAAATTTCTGAGTTCCATCACATCAACAAATTGAAATAAGGAGTGATCCATTAAAAAATGTTTCTAAAGTATTTCTTTGAAATGATTGAGGTATATTGGAGCATTTAAGTCTTTTTTTTTAGTGTCAGTTTGAATTTAATTTAGGGTCCCCCAAAACCACCCCGTGGTTACGCCATTGATTGCAGTATACGTGATTCCAAATTCACAAAATATAAGTAAAATACATGTTCAAACATATTTATAGCTCAATGTTTTATACAAAATAGAACAAAATTTGTCGAAACAACCATCTAGAGTGTAAAGTAGAATATCCCTGTGATCTTAGCTTTATCAAAGCTTTGAGTTGCTCAAAGCTTTGGGTATCGTTTGTACGTAATATGAAGTTCACAGAAGCACCGGCAAGATTTTTATTTTTATTATTAAATGTTCAATATTACATGGCCATGATTTAGGAAAGTTTTAATATTTTTGCATTTATGGGGATTCAAATGCATCTTGTATTTTTTTGTCGTTTTCTAAAATTATAATTTGGGCAGTAACGGATCTTGAAGACGCGATATCTTAATTTTATTATTTTGATTTTATATCTTAGTTTAGCAATAATATTGTTAACTTTCACGAGAATGATAAGGACATTCATAACTTCCCTGATGTAATATGTTCACAGTAGTAAAAAGTATAATTTTATTTCTCGAAAATCATTTTTCATCGGTATCATTTTATTTTTTTGCCGAGTTATTTAAAAGAAAAACCTTATCAATGTCTGGTTTTTTATTTTTTTTTTGTTACACTCTAGTTTTTTAAATAAAAATAAAAAATTAATATTAAATTTATCAATTTGCAGATATCAATTTTTGGAAAACTGGATTTTGTAGCTGATTTTTTTTTTAAGTGTTTTCTATATACAACTAATTGGGTTTTGTAGATAATATTTTTATTTGGAAGTAGCAAAAATATTTCCTTTTCTCTCAACTATAGTCTATTTTTATGTATGAGAGAGTATTAAAATAATAAAGCGTTCGTAATCCATAGGCGTACCACTTCTTTTAGTAGACAGTTAGTTAAAATATTTTTTGAAGTTATTCCTCGAGTATACACTTATATTTTCACCTAATTAACCTGCTTATAACTTCTAAACAGCTGAAGGTAAAAAAGTGCAATTTTTTCTAAAATGTTTTATTTTTCCACAAGGTATGTTAAGAACATTGTGTGTCAAACGGGTTATGTAGGTATAAGGGTTTAAACTTTGACTTTTAAACAACGTTACATTCATAAATAATAATTTTAATATAAAAACTACTTCTTACCTACAAATCCAAATCAGAATCGAAATCAGAAGATGAACTGTCGCAACCAATATTTACAATGAGTGGCTCGATCATTTCATCAGTAATATTGTCCAACTTCCACATTTTCTCTTCTTCTTTAATCGTATGATTTACTGGCTTTTCCCAGTTTTCAGGCTTCACATTATTTACAGCCTCCAAAAACAACTGTTTAACATCACTCATTTTAAAAGAATTATTTTTTCTTTATCTGTGCCCATATCAGTTCAATCGGGTTTACTTCGCAATGATATGGTGATGATCTAACCACCGTCATCCCACGATTTTTTGCAATTTCGTATTTTTTGAATTTCTCTTTATGAAGGGAACACAAATGATATAGTTCTTTTCTCACAGAACCGGGATGGAACTTAATATTCTTTGAATTTAGCCAATTCTGTAAATCTTTTTTTAACCACTTGGTTGTGGGCATTTTTTCTATAAGTCTCGAGTGATAACTTGCATTATCCATTACTATTATACAGATCTGAGGAAGAAAATCTATAATTTGTTCGAACCACTCATGGTAGTCACCGGTACGAGTAGATTCAAAAGTCAATAAACCACCTTTAACAAAACCGTTTGAACTATCGATGTGTACTATTATTAGTCTGCGCCCCTTTGCTGATGGTGGATTTAAACCAGTAGATAAATTATTTAAAAAAGCCTGTCTTCGACTTGTAACAGTTTCATCTTGCCAAAATTTATTTGGTTTATGTCCCTCGTTGATCCATGTTTCATCTAAATAAAATATATTTCTTCTTTGGTTTCTCATTTCTTTTATAGTCGTTAAGTAATTTCTTCTCCATACTACAATATCGCTTCATTCTATTAAAATTGACTTTCTGGAATGCTTTTTCCATAGAAAACCTATTTCTTTTAAAAGTTTCCATGATGTGTGCTTCGACTCATTTCAGGGTAATCCTTATCATCTCGAACCGTGGCAAGAACTTTGTCTACTGTCGGAAATTCTTTTCTAAAGAAGAACGCATGCACTTTCCTTCAAAAGATTTTCTAATTGAAATTTTGGTTTTCCTGGAGCTTTACGTGCTGTTTGAAACTCGCCACATTTCTCTTCTTTAACAACTCTGTAAATCGTAGATTTCCTAACACCAAGCGTACTACTAACTAATTCCAATATGTCATCAACACTTTTACATAAATGTTTTTATGTAAATGATTTAAAACAATTAAATATTAATGTTTTTTCATTAACTGTTAAAGGACCGATTTTTTGTCGTTTACGCGGCCCTTCCAAATTTTCCATGATCACACTAGAACTCACACTGCACCTTGCAAGTTGCAACTAAACGACATTTAGTAAACTGTCAAGAATACACAACTTGGACCTCCTTACTAAATGGAAAACCTATAATCGCATTTTCGGTGAAATTTGTTGGGAAGGTATTTATCTACTTATAATTCGATTACTGTAAGAAATTCTTGGAATTAAAATAAAACAAAATTGGCAAATAGGTACTTATTGAAAATAATCTTAAGATACGGCTATGTAATCTTTAATACACAGGGCTTTTGGCCTGTCCAACCCTTTTTCTATTGTTCTGTACAGCTTATGTTTATAAAGGACCAATAAAAGACCCAAAACTTGTAATAGCTCAGGTACATTTATTACAATTTTAGGAAATATTTAGATTATTCTGTAAAAATATTTAAAATGACCGTACTAAGTTTTGCATTAGAAATGCTGTTTTATTACTCTCTCATACATAAAAATAGACTATATCTGTAACCACCAGCTGGCTCGAGTTTGCAAATATAAAATAATTCGGCCAGGGTCTAACTCGCCCTTTTAATTGTAAAAATTTAGTATCGTTAATTCAAATATTTATGTACATAAATTAAAATCGAAAGAACAAACTTAATATTTACATTTTCTGTTCACCATGTTTAAAATATCGCTTACAATTAACTTTTGTTTCAGGTATAAAGACGACAAACCATATCCATGGGCATTGGACACATCAGGACTAATCATAAATCCACCAAGTGGTAATCAAACTATTTACGTTCAATCCGTACAACAGAAAGACCAAGGAAGTTATACCTGTTATATACGAAATGAAACTACTGTGTTGGTTCATAGAATTCAACTGAAAATATTTGGTAAGTTGTAAAATAAAAACATTAATTTTTTTAATTTAATTTTAAATAAGTCGTAAACAAAAATGAAATACCTAACACGAATTGAAACCCTTCTTACAACTCTCGTTACATAATAAATATACTGTTACTTCAGTGAAGTAAAGTACCTACCTACTCATTAAAAGAAAAAGTAGATATTTTTTTATAAAATGAAATTTTTATGCGAAAGTCTTTCTTTTTAATATTTTTTATTTATTCTGATTCTTGAGTATTCCTGTTATTCACCATTCTGTTATTTTCTTTTAAGATACGGTATACCTACATCTGGTCGGTTGAGATCCATTCATTAAACGGAACAAAACACATGACCCTCTCACTTTGTACCATGTGCACGCGCAGGTGACAATAATAATGTATGCCCACTCGTTTGTTCACTTTTTCTCAGTAAAATAATGTAACAATTTATACAGAGCGTGAAATCGTAATCCTATACCTACAACGGTTTGTGATTTAGTGTGGGCTCTGTTTTGTTGTTGGCAATTTAGCAATTGAAAAATGTAATAATTATTTGTTACATTTTGTATTTATTTTTTCGAAAAATGCATTTATCAATACCTGGAACTGACAACGTATACGACTAAAAATATTTGAATAATGAAAGCAATTTAAACTAGCAAGAGTTTGACCTAATTGCCGTGATGGTTGATATGATTTATAGGGCTTTAGCAAGGGATTTGATAGTTCATAAGGATATTGGTATAGAACCTGGCGAAAACAACAATATATAGAGTAATTAGACGTAGGTCTTAGCTAAAAAAATGGAAATATCTGGGCCAAGCTCTAAGACGAACCTTCAAAACCACAGAGCTGGGCTGCAAGAAATAATGAAGCCAAAAATCAATCATCTCTGCAAACAAGAACCAACGGGAAATCAGAATTAATTTTTTTTTTATTAGCAAATTAACTTCATAGGAAATTTTAGGTCGTTTTAGGATCTTAAATTTTCGTCCAACATTAGGGGATCGTTCTGTATATATCTTAGTTTCTCCTAAGGTTCTAGGACTAATTATTAATTTTATTATGTTTTTTTTAATTTAAACCAAACAATGCTACTTAAAATCTAGACCCCACGGCGTTTTACGAGGCGACTCCGACCCCGCATATATGCAAATTCGCGCTTTACATAATTTGAATTTCAAGAAATTCATTCCGAACGATTTTCATACTAATACCATTACTACTTACTTCTTCATAGTTATTTATATTTATAAACATTATATTCCAAAGTAGCACCCTACAACCGGCTATAAACTACTGCCTTATTATACAACTGCTCTTGTTCTCCGTCTGTCGCGCTAAAAACTAACACCTTGTTTAAATACCAAAATGGAATTGACGGCTTTTACCGGAAACGCGTGGGTTTATGATTATTGGAATAAATAATAAATGAGATTAAGAGTGAATTGAATTCTCGTGCCGTGCATTTATTTGTTCAACCAACATTCAATTGTAGGTAAGGAATTTGTAAATATTTTTTAATGGTGCTAGGAATCATAGAAAAATCTGCCCTTGTAAAACTTTCTTTTTCCTTTTTTTTTTAATAGTTTATTTTCAATTTTCCAACTATTCTAAAAATTTCAGTTCTTATTCCACCTTTTGTGTAATTAACTTAAACTATGTGAATATTTTTATATATTTATAAATCTATTTAATATATGTTACAAAATTAATTCGCCTATTACTTGTAATGAGCTAAAGCAGTGGGCGCCAACCTGTCGATCGCGAGCTACCGGTAGCTCGCGGAAGCAATTCTGGTAGCTCTCACAACGATTTTAATTTAAAAAATACAAACTGCAAAAATCAGAGAAGCTTCCGAAAATTCCACAAAAAAATCTAATTGTCATAATATTAAACATAAACAGCGGCAACGTTGCGGTGAGCGATCTGCCGCTGACGCCATCAAGCTAGAATCGGCTAGAACCGACCAGCCGGACCAGCGCGTTAGTGTTCGAGAACGATCAGGATTGCTTTGAACGGGATAAATACGCACGGCGCGGCGACATTGCGCTTAGTTTAAAACTGAACGCGTAACCAACGTCCAGCGGTTGGGTTAGTAGAGAACAACAAAAAATAATATTATAGCAAGCAGTTGTAAGAAGGTAAAGACATACCATTTTCATTCGGAATGGGAAGAACAATACTTTTTTACAGAAGTTAAAGATAAAAATGTGTGTTTGTTATGTAATACTTCGGTCTCCGTTGCTAAAAAAGGAAATATTGAGAGACATCATAAAACTGTACATTCTAATTTTGAAAAATCATTACCACTACATTCTGCCGCCAGAAAGGAGAAACTGAAACAGTTAAAAAAGCAGTTAATTGGACAACAATCAATATTTTTAAGAACAGTCGACAAAAATAAGGCCGCAACTGAAGCATCGTACCATGTGTCCCAGATAATTGCACAAAAAAAGAAACCTTATGAAGACGGGGAAATGATAAAACATGCGTTTTTAGAAGCTGCTGATTCGTTATTTGCCAACTTTAGAAATAAAGACTAGATAGTTTCAGCTATAAAATCTATGCAACTTTCTGCTAATACAGTGATGAGACGTTTAAAAGTAATGAGCAATGATATTTTTTTACAGTTAAGAACTGACTTAGATAACTGTGTTTATTTTTCACTTCAACTGAATGAATCAACAGATGTCGTTGACACTGCCTAGATGGTTTTTAGTGATTTTAAGAATAAAGAAGATCGTTTGAAGTTTATTCCACTGAAAGGACACACTACTGGACAGGAGTTGTTTTCTCATTTAAAAAATATTATTTCTTCCGAGAAAATTCCAATATCGAAAATGGTAGGCTTGACAACCGATGGCGCTCCAGCTATGGTGGGTTGTGATAAGGGTCTGGTGGCGTTATGTCGTAAAGATGAAACTTTTCCGCAATTTCTCTGTTACCACTGCATTATTCATCAGCAAGCATTATGTGGAAATTTCCTGAAACTAAACAACGTTATGAAACTGGTGGTAAAAATTGTGAACAAGATTAGAGCTCAAGCGTTACAAAGAAGATTATTCAAAACCTTGGCCGATGAAGTTGATTGTCAATACGAGGACCTACTCCTTCACTCTGAAGTCCGATGGTTAAGTAGAGGACGGGTGCTGAAACGTTTTAATAATGTCCTATCTGGCATAGTTCAATTTTTCAAACAACGCGATGAACCGACTCCGGAACTAGAAAATTCAATCTGGCTTAGAGATTTTGGTTTTCTCGTGGACATTACAGAGAAATTAAACGAACTTAATTTTCAGGTTCAGGGGAGAGACAAAGAACTAGCGAAAATGATTTCTGATATAAAAGCATTTATCAAAAAGCTGGAGTTTTGGGAACAAAACCTAATTAACAGCGATGCCAAGCATTTTCCTATTCTTTCAGAAAAAATATCTCAAAATCCATTAGAACCCTATGACAGCAAATATCATGTAGAAATAGTTTCTACCCTGAAGAATAACTTCAAAAATCGTTTTAAGGATTTCAACGAAATGGCTTTAGTAGCGCAGTTTGTTGTTTCACCCTTTATGGAAATTGATATCCAACAGTTTGCGACTTGTGTTATGCAGAACTTTGGCGAAGACATCTCTGCAACAGAAATGTAAGTAATTGAGTTTCAAAATAATTTAGCCTTAAAATCGTTAGTCTCAAGTACCAAATGTATCTGGCCTATTGTAAGTAAAAACAAATATTCAGTTCTATGCCGTGTTGCCTTGAAAGTGAAAGCATTATTTAGTTCAACCTATTTGTGTGAATCTTCTTTTTCCAATATGAAGTTTATTAAGAGCAAACAGTAGCGCGTCGTCAAACTGCGTTTGAAACTCAGGTAATACACACCCAGACTTTGTACATGCCAGACTAAGCAACACCGCCTAATATATTTGCTGGTGGGAAAGTTGAGAGATGCATTTGATTTCCTGATTGTGTTTGCGCTTCGGAAAGGTTAGCAGGTAGATGACGGGTCGATATTTTAAATAATGTATTTATTTTTATATACCACTTTTAACACGTTAAAATACTGCATATACCCGGTTTTTCTTGTGCGTCTAAAAGAAAAACGGCGTATTTTTACCAAAAATCTGAGATCATATAAAATAAATATTTTAATTGGTCAAAAAAATATAATACGGAAATGAATAAGATTTAAATAAAAATCTGCTCATTAATTTGGAAAAATTATATTTAATTAATTTACAAAAATTATATGTTTTGTCAAATATAATTGTTTTGTTGAAGTTAGTCTGTACAAATTAAATAAGAATGTTTTAAAATAAATATAATTAAGTTACTTGCATCAAATAAACAAGATCTATTTTTTACATATTCGAAGTTGATTTTGAGTTTAGCTCCTCTCTGGATATTTCCCTTATGGACAAACCTCTTGGTACTCTTGGATCCACCAACTCGGGAAGTAAACAATTAAAAAAAAAAATTTTTAATTTTAGTAACATTTTTTGTTGCCAAAAGTCCTCATCCTTAGTTATCTAAAAATACATTATAAATTATTATTGTCGTCCTTGTAAGAAAAATATAAAAAATGTTTTCGTTTATGAAATCATATTTTGTTATGTACCTTCTCAATCAAACATCCTTGGGAACTCCAGACAATAAAATAGCAAATTTTCCGTTTTGTTATTTGCAGCTGGCCCTGAACTTGAAAATAATAGTTATGATTTCTCTTTAATTTGAGTTTTTCATTCTCTATTGTAGCGAAATTAATTTTTTTTGTTATTATTCCTTCTAGTGGGCTGATATTTTTAATAGAAGCCGGGCATTTAATTTCTATTATTGCATCATCTCCTACCAGTCCATCTGGAGTGGCCCCTAAAAAGTAATTTATCTCATCTATGAATAAACCGCAATTGTTTACTTTCACATTATATGTTTTTTCGAATGCTTCTAAGGCAAAAGGTTCACTAATTTTTCCATAATTAGTTGAATCATTTCCACAAAATTTTGAATAT